GCTATTCTGGTCTGTATAAGTTGTTTTGAGCATTTGTTCGTCAAAACACACATACACAACTGTTTTGTATAAAAGAATGCGCTTTTGGTATAATCTTTTTCGAAACAGACCAACGCTTTCTTTAGACAATTTATCTGTACTTGATGTAGAGTCATGCCTCGTCACGTGCCAGAAGTTATAGGGCGACAAATTATTTGACTGTCCAGAAATGGTATGCAGCAAACGAACATTGCCAGAATAGTACGGCACGCCTAGTATGTTGTGTCCAGAAACCTGAAATGTCATCGGACCAAAGAAAACGTTGTTCCAGGAAAGTCTACTGGTAGACGCTGAAAAATTACTGCCCGAGATGGGTGTCTTTTGTTCAGGTTAACACGTGGAGGTCAGAAGAAATCTTGCAATATCTAACGACAGGAATGGCATAAACACATTCATTTCAGAGTATCCAGAGGAACAGTGAATAGGAACCTGACCAAAGAAAGTAATTTTGCAAGAAGGGCTATGTGCAAACCGATATTAACCAGAATTAACCGCCTTCATGTTACTTGAGCAAGACAGCATGCCAACTTAAAGTTAGGTCACTCGCGACACGTCATCTTTTCAGATGAGCCCTATTTCCGGCTTGTTAAAGCTGATGGTAGGATTTATATTCGTCATTTGCCTGGAGAAGAGATGAGGGAAGACTATATTTTACACAAGAAACACACAGGAGGCGATGCAGTACATGTTTGGGCAGCTATTTAACATAGTGGAAAAACTGCTGTCAATATCTTTAAGGGAAACGTCAATGGCGCCTCCTACCGGCATCACATGCAGACGATATTTCTGTCATATGCTAAAGCAAGGTTTGGCAACAACTTTGTGTGTCCAGGATGACAATGTCACTGACCACAGTGCGCATATTGTACAGGACTATCTTGTCCAGGAGGACGTTACAAGATTGCCATGACTAACAATGTTTCCAGATTGTAATCCATCTGACAACTGTTGTGCAGAACTGAGCCGGAAAATTGCTGGCCACGACCCTAAACCAGCTACTCTAGCTGAGTTGCAGCGCATTCTAGCGACAAGGTGGGACAATATCACGGTGTATTACATCAATAACCTCATCGACAGTATGCCACGTCATTTGCAGAGGTTATTAGAGTTACGAGTAGTGAATGTCTAATATGAACTAATATGTGGTTGCACACGCTATTTATAATAACTTGATGTTATATTTTGTCATTATATATATGTTTGTCAAAGCTTTGTTATGATAGAGGAAATGCTGAACTACAGAACTTTCACAGATGTTTGATAAAATTGTTTGCTGTTCCAAGAAATCTCTCATGATATCCATATAACCTGTCTCATTATACAAATTACATGTGTAGATGTTTAATATAACACGCATTTTTCAGTCTGACAGCACTAACTGTATTTGTATTCCATCTTAATAATGATCTTATTTGTTAAAAAATATACAAATATTTTGTCCAAGAGTGTATGAACACATCCACTACAGTATAGGATATCTAACTGATACTTAGGAGCACCTACAACACAGGCTCGAATGGGTTCATATACTTCCATCTCAAACTTACTCCAGTGAAGTTATTTCTTCTATTTTCCATGTACTTCATCTTAAACACGCTTCTGTGAAGTTCCCTTTTCACTTGCCACAGTACATAGAATATCCAACTGGTACTGAGGAGTAGGCACAAATGACCCAGGATAAGGTCACACAGTTCCATCTTAAACATGCTCCAGTGGAGATCCTTCTCTTACCCGTAACATTTGATACTTTCCTCCATCGTTCTGGAGTGTAGCTGATTCTTGGAAGAATTCCATTATTTTACTCTTCCTAAAACTTAATATGTATCGAAAAAGTGTGTTTTTCTTATTGTCCTATCATTCTTACCAATGTCTACAGTAAAAGCTTCGACCTATTTTAATTCAGTGACGTCATAACTGTATTGCAGATCATCAATTCTTGCCGAGTACCTAGGTTGGTCTTCGTTCATAGCTTTATATTATGAACCAGCTCCTAAGATTATCGGACTCTACCTCCAATCATTTTAACATTAACAAGGCTTCTTGCATGATACTTTTCGATTTTGAATGAGCTTTTGACTCTGTCTGGTGCTATGGTTTAATCTACAAATTTCAACATTTAACGCTACTTCTTACCTATGTCTGAGTTATTAATTAATTTCTGTGTGTAAGATGTGCAACTGTTTCTCTTGAAAGGATTCTATGTCGATCGTTTGATCTTTCTGCTGGAGTTAATCAATGCTTTATTCTGTTACCTCTCCTGTATGTCGTTTATGTTGCTAATATGCCTAAACAGATGTATCCTGTTCCATAATACCAATACGCCGAGGATACTGCGTTTATGGCCAGTATAAGAGTATGTTTCTTTCGGGCTGCGATAAACACCTTTCTGGCTTGGAGTCGTCACTGGCATCTTACCTTTAACGTCACAATAACAAGAGTGATTGGTTCCGAAAAGAGCAAATTTCGCCCACGTTATTTAATGTCAGCATCAACAACGTTCTCATTTAGCTTTTCGACACAGTTAAATATCTAGGTGTCATGTTCGATAAATATCTGACCTGGAAAGCTCAGATGATGGCTCTTAACCACGAACTCAGTCAACGTCTCAATCTGTTACAATGCCTAACAAGAACTACCTGTGGTTTAAATTCGCTTCTTATTTTATACAGTACTTTGCCCGACTTTATATCGAATGCTGTTATTGCCTGAATTTCTGACTTTCCCAAATTTTATACTCTCTTCTAGTTTTGGAACGACGTACTTTCATTTTACATTAATGGTAATACTGCAATAAATATTTTTGTTTTATTTATTTGAATAATACAACAAAGAAAACAGAATAATAACGTGTGAAAAGCAGACAATGTCCCATAAGTATTACAATTTTTCTGGTTTTCTAACTTTAAAACAAGAGCCGTTAAAACCTCATCGAAGCTCCTCGATGTGTTTCCCGTGGGAATTAAGCTTGAACCGAAAGCGAAATTGGATAGTTTTCAATGTTATACTTCCTAGTCCTAAAAAGGAGCAGTGTGATAAGATCACTTTTCCTTATAAACTTTAAACATCTGCATAAACTTCACAATAATTATTTATGTTCAAGAATTTGTTTCTCTCTCTCAAAGTGTAGCATTTTATGATACACTCACCCATAACGTTAATCCTCCAAAGAAAATGCTGCCATCAACTGACCATTTCTTGTATTTTCTGTCGCTTCTAGTTGATGACCCTAATCACGTGGATATCCCGAAACCAAATTTACCAGGTTCTATTTATCTAGAGAGCAGAATGGTTCTTATTCTTTCTACTTTTATTCAATTTGTTAGTCATCGAAGCACAATAAACTTCCTCTACAATACATAATTTCATCTAAATACCAATCTTCATTATGATACACTTACACGTCCATTACGTGCTGTTAATCTTCGGTTTCGTCACACGTCTTGGCCAAAGAGATGACCCATCAACCTTGGGCTGGAATGAAATGAAAAAAAAATAAAATAAGAAGAAGAAAATACGCAAGAAAACACGGACAATTATAACCTCATACGTCCACCAAATAACGATAATTAAATTCCTTCTATAATGTTAAGTTTCAGATTTCGCGAAATCTATCTTCCATCAGAATTAACTGATGTTTATCAACATTAAGAACTAACAATTATAAGACATGTTTCTTTAAACAATCAGTTTGAGAGTTACTGGTGTGCTGTTGAAAGAAATTGAAAATGGTTCAATCGTACAGAAAGTGATTTTTTTTTGTTTTAACACAAAGCTACAAAGTAAACTATCTGCACTTTGTCTACCACGGGAAATCGAATCTCAGATTTTAAAGTTTGTAAGTCCGTAAACTAACCTCTGACCCACTGGGAAACATAAGGGAAGTTGAAGCTTTAAATAAGCTTGAGGCTAAAAACGAAATTATCATTACAAACTTTGATAAAGGTAATGTTAATACAGCATTGTTGGATAAGTGTGATTCTTCAAATAAGGCTTACAACATATAGGATTTATAAAAGAATAGAAAATTACGAACTAATATATGGAAACCAGACTGGAGCAAAATACCACTTGGCTAAAACAGTTCTTTCATATTGAGTAAATAAATATGACACATAAAGTACCATTTTAAGGCAATTATATTAAACCAGAACTGTTCATAATTATTTAACGTTAGAAATAAATTATCACCAGAGGTTTTTATTATTATTATCGTAATGGCCCAATAATTTCTATTTTTGTAACATATATTATGGAATTAATAGTTTCTGAACGATGTAAATTGTTCAATTTTCTTGAGTTGGAATTCACATATATTGTTAAATGTTCTGTAAAGTCGTTTCACGTGGATCGTGAAGTAGTTGGTTTTCCTTTTATAGTAACAGTAAGGGTGTAAAAAATGTTAGCAAATTGCCAGTGTTTTTAAAGGAATCTCTTAGAATAATTTTCGTTTAATTAGCGGGCATGACGCATCAACTTGTAATGTATTAAAATGCAGACATTTTCCAACAAAATGAGCTAAAGGTAAAAGCATTTATATTTTCAGAAAATATATCTTGTGCGTGTCATTTAGTGAAAACTTGAGAATATATTTAAGTCACGTTTGCAAGAAAAATAGAACAAACTAAATCAGGCTGAGGAAACTTCACAATCATATAACTTAACAAACCGGTTTCTGGGCTTTATAAATACATATATAGATAAGAAAAGAAGGCAGTCTGATATACTACAAAATAAAGTTTTCTATTACATTTGTAAGTACCAGCAAGCATAGTACAGCGTCTTGCTTTACTTACGATTTGTCAGTTAGCTAATTATAAAATGTTGTGTGTTACTCTTGTAATACGCTTCTGTTAATATTCAAACCTCATAAAGTTTTATTTTCGTCCACAGAGGACGCCACAAGCATTCATTTCTGCTGCGCGTGTTGTTGAGTGAGTCAACAGGAAGGTTTGCAGACGGAGCACGAATTACTAGCCATGCTAGCATATTTTCCAGCTGGTCCTGGACCAATCAGTGATAGCGTTGTTTTATTAGTTGTCTCACACGGTTGCTAATTATATGAATATAATATTTCTGGTTCTTCGGCCGTCGAGCGGTGACGAAGGGACCCGATGAGAGTAGAAGAGGAAGTGGAGTGGCAGAAGTCAGCTGAAGAAATGTGGTGCTTAATAGTCAAGTAGTGTGTGTCAATTGAACAAAGCTTCTGTCTAGAAGGCCGTTCGCTAAGTGTATACGGTAACCGATTCAAATGATCGAAGAATTTTAAGCTTGTAAACGTTTGTTCGTTTTAGACTGGAAACCAATCTGATCTCGAGTCCAAGGTTCTGATTGAAACTTGTAGGAGGGATTATCTGAAAGAATATAACCATACCATGATGCCACAGGGTCCAACTCCTTTCTCCCCACGTCCGACAAAACCACACTTAACATTTTCAATCGAATCCCTGGTAGGAAAAGAGCCTTTGGACAGTAGAACATTAAGTGAAAATATTGAATCGCCCACCTACACGCCGCCAAGAGCTCATGTTCGGACCTCTCCCCCAGTGGCTCACACGATGTCCAGGACAACGTTTCCTCCCGCTTCTTTCCACGGTGGTGACTTCTCACCACTGACGCACGGTGACGTGTCCCATCCTTATCTGGGTTTACGAGCATCCCCGTCCATTTATCCCGTTTCCCCGTATCTATTTGGCCGTGACTCCTACTCAATGTATCCGTGGCTCTTAGCGTCTAGGCATCCAAGGTTTCTTCTTCACCCTCGAGTTCTTCCTGGTAAGTTATCAACACATTTGTCTTTAACATAAATGAATATCAAGATGGTCGCGTAAACAGAACTTTCTTTGAACTAAAATAAGCCGATAAATTAATTTAATAGTGTATATCTAATGTACGAGCTGTAACGACATAGTAAGTCTTGAATATGTAAACAGTTAGAATTAGAATAAGACGCCCTTCGAAATGTTTTTCCTGTACCATAAACTAAACCATAATGTTGACTGAAACTCTTTAACACAATCTTAGTATTGATAGAGTTAATCTGGGTGTTTATATCAATCATTACGCCAACTTGTGCAGTGCATAAATTAGGTTTTCTTATCATAGCCACGAACTTTATTACGTATGCAATCACATAACCTACATTTATAATAACGCAACAGTAGTTAGTAACTTTGATGTTGCTGGACATCACCACATTAGGGAGAGCATGAATTACTTTTAAAATATGAACGGTGCTCCAGATGATGATTGAAAACGAATCACTGAAGTGGGGTGTTTCTTTAAACTGTGACAAGTCATTCTAAAGTGTACAGATGGGTATATCAACTATCGCCTGTGTTTTGAGAAAGTTTTTTTTTGTGTGTGTTAAATAGATAATATATTTTTACGGGACAATTTTACGTGGTAAAGATGCCATCAAATCAATGTAATAATTTTGCTTACAATATTTTTACATGTGTTTAAAAGTGATCTCAATTAAAAAAAACCGTTCAGAGGATACCTTAATGTTAAAATTCTTTAAGTATACAGATTTCTTGCAGACTAGCATGGACGGTTTCAGAAGAGCTTTGACATTTTACTAAGTAGTTTCATGCTAAAGTGTGAATATACAATGGCTTCTAGGTGATTTATTTAATATCTTTCTATATTACTTTTTTGTATTATAACAAAAAATATCTTAATGGCAAAGTATGTGTTGTACACATAACGAAACGAAAAACAAAAAATTTTCCACATCAATAAGATTTTAAATAGTTATTAACTGTGGAAGGAACCGAGAAGTGGATTTTAGGGTATTTTTACTTATGATGTATTGACTTGCGCTTTTCTCACTCCTGAAAAAGTTAAGTTTTTTATATCAGTTGGACCAGCGTGTATGGTGGTGAATGTACGAAATGAAGTGATCATGGTCCAAAGTTCGTCGTGTAAGCATATATGTGTTTTGCGCGTGATTTGGGACTTAAATCTAAGAAGCAGATGTATGCTTCATTTCTGAGCCTTCCAACAGTCTAAAAGACAAGATTTACTTCATATTAAACCGAAACTTTCATCACTAGTTTTTTTTTTATTTCTTTTGTTTGGTTAACCGCCTTATTTAGAAGGTATCAGATTGTATGGGTGACCTTGAATAATTAATAATTCATAGACGATTAAACAAACGTTTCGTGGATCGAAAGAATATCACATTAATAATACACGCTCTTCCCAGGAAATATCCGCTTTCTGAATAACAATTGACCAAACAAATATATGGTCTTGCGTTATAGAAATTATAATAAAAATATAGATTCGTTAGATTTACTGTGTATGGGTTGATTACACCAAAAACTTCAGAGGTTATTTTGTTTGTTTGTAGTTAAGTACAAAGCTACACAATGGGCTATATGTGCTCTGCCGACCACGGGTATCAAAACCCGGATTCTAGAGCTGTGCCACTGTGGGAGCATTCTATAAATTAAACAGTTGTGAGGATTAAAAGTGAAATCTATCATCAGTTTTAATATCCAGCTGGTAGTTGCACCGCAGCTAAATTAGATAACTTATTCATCAATATTATACAAATATCTTTAATAATTTACCACTGGTATGGTATGAAAAACATTATTACACGATGTATTGATTTTAGAAAGTAATTATCCTATCTTTTTTAGAAGTTGTTCAATACTTCTAAATGTATGTATGTGTGTATATTTGTAAATATAAATTGTGAATGTACATGAGCTAAAGTCTTTTTTTTTCTCGTTTTGGCTGTTCCTCAACAAAAACAATGGAGTTAGAGAAAAAATAGGCCAAGCTATTTTACTATGACGTGTAACTTCATGAAAGAGTGTTAACAGCTCCCCCAAATGACAACTGCTGGAAGTTTGTTTTCTGTGAAATTTCTTAGGTATTAATGCTATTTTTTTGTATTGATTCACTAAGAAAGTCAACGCCAAAGAAATACGTATCGCTTGTTCAAATGAACAACGAAACAGTATTTAAACACGAATTACGTCATCTTAGTTGAATGCATGCTTTAATTATGAAACACCATATCAGCTCCGACATCTCTATCTGAAGCGTAGGTTTGTTTGTTTGTTTGTTTTGGAATTTCGCGCAAAG